ACGACTGTCTGCTTCTTACTTTTCCATGTCACTAGGTTACCCCCCAGGAAAGTGCAATAGCCTGTGGTAGACCGCCTATTAGACATAGAACCGGCTCAGTCAGCATCAGAATACCCTTCTATTTCAAGTTTTCCGCCACTTTTGTATATCAAACCGCGACCTGGAACCCCTTTTAAATACCTCACAATTCTCAGAACTACGTTCCAATGAGGAACCAGAGGTTTCTACATGAACTGACTTACCACACTAACCGCAAATGAAATATCTGGCCGAGTAATAGTTAGGTAGTTTAGTTTACCTACAAGTCGTTGGTATCTTCCAGGGTCTTCAAACACTTCACCCATATCACTGCTTAGCTTAGTATTTRTTTCCATAGGTGTTTCAGCTGGTTTAGCACCTAACAAACCTGTTTCCTCCAGCAAATCAAGCACATATTTCCTCTGACACAAATTAATACCGTGCTTAGACCTTGYTACTTCTATCCCCAAGAAATATTTCAATTTACCAAGGTCCTTTGTTTGAAAATGTTCTTGTAGAAAAGTCTTCAACCTGTCAATGCCCATTTTATCATTCCCGGTAATAACAATATCATCTACATACACCACCAATAGTATTTTTCCTGTCGGAGAGTCATGACTGAAGACGGAATGATCAACTTGGCACTGTTTCATACCAAACTTCTTTACCACCTCACTGAACCTACCAAACCATGCTCGAGGAGACCGTTTAAGCCCATATATAGCCTTCTTTAGTCTGCATACCTTACCATCCTCCCCCTGAGCAACAAACCCTGGTGGTTGCTCCATATAGACCTCCTCGAGCAAATCACCATGCAAAAAGGCATTCTTGATATCAAGCTGATATAGGGGCCAATCATACATAGATGCAAGAGAGATCACAACACGAACTGACCCTATCTTAGCAACTGGTGAGGTCTCTGTGTAGTCAATACCATAGGTTTGGGAGTACCCTTTTGCAACCAATCGCACTTTCAGGCGTTCAACACTACCATCAGGTAGATACTTGACTGTATAAACCCATTTACAACCAACAGTTTGCTTCCCAGGAGGAAGAACAATGAGGTCCCGATGAAGGGCTAAAATTTCTTCTTCCATCGCACGGCACCACCCTGGAGAGGCAAGGGCTTCCTGGACATCCTTAGGGACAACAACTGATGATAACAAGGTGACAAACTGGCAATGGGAGGTGGAAAGGTGAGTAAGTGAAACATAATTAGAAATAGGATGAAGGGTGCAAGTGCGTTTACCTTTCCACAAGGCAATGGGAAGATCAAGCTCAGATGCTGGGTTTGGGTCTGGAGCCGGATCTGTCGACGGTGATGTAGCCGGAGGAGTAGAAGTTGGTACGTGTGGGTGATGTGTACACACGTGATGGATAGGTGGGCGTTCAACAGGTGGTGGCACCGGAGGCAAGGATTTGGTCACGGATGGAACAAGGGGAAGAGGGTCGGCAACGGGAAGTGGAAGAGGAGGTGACGAGGAGGAAGAAGCATCACCGGACCCCAAAAAGAACGGAGTAGACTCAAAGAAGGTGACATCAACACACACAAAGGACCGTCGAGAATTAGGATGGTAACACTTATACCCTTTCTGGGTCAGAGAATGGCCAAAGAAAATGCACTTGAGAGAACGGGCATCGAACTTGTCATTCCCGGGACCCAGATTATGGACGAAGCAGACACACCCAAATACCCTAGGAGTAAGAGGAAACAGAGACAAGGCGGGAAACAAGATTGTAAACGGAGAATGACCATCAAGGATGGACGTGGGCATCCGATTAATCAGAAAGCAAGAGGTAAGCACCGCATCACTCCAAAAATGTTTGGGAACATTAATGTGATGCATGAGGGATCGTGCTGTTTCCAAGAGATGGCGATTCTTTCTCTCAACCACCCCATTTTGTTGTGGGGTGTAGGTACATGAGGTCTGATGTATAATGTCGTGTTGGTCCAGGTATTATTGAAATGATGAGGATAAATATTCACGGCCATTATCAGAACGGAAAACTTTAATGTGAATACCAAATTGATTACGAATCTCAGCATAAAATTTTTGAAAAATGGTAAACAATTCACTTCTTTCTTTCATTAGATAGAGCCACGTCATCCTTGAAAAAGCATCTACAAAAATGACAAAATATCTATATCCATTATATGACATCACTTTATAAGGACCCCAAACATCGGAGTGAATCAAAGAAAAAGGACTCGACACACGGTTATCAACCCTAGAACTAAAGGGAACAAGATGGTGTTTCCTAAACTGACACGACTCACAATCCAAAACAGAAAGTTGACTCAAAGATGGAACCAAAGACTTCAAAACTTTCAGCGACGGATGACCAAATCGACAGTGCCACTGGAGAGGAGAAAGGGATGACTAATTTTTTCCACCACCGTCAAGGTAATACAGATCGACCCTCTTCTCTTCATCGATTAGGGGAGGGCTTCTTAGAAACCACAGCAACCGACCACACAAGACACGATTGGAGGCATAGAAACCTCCAAGGGGAGAGGGCGATCACTCCTTTTCAGCCCTTTCCCTTATCTCCAGTTGAATGTAGAAAAATCAAGAGAAACCCTAGATTGGGTGCGCAGAGAATAGAAATCTAGGCAGATTCGAGTTGCTCTGATACGATGTTATGATTCGGCCTGCCTTGGAGTTCTATTTGTCTGAGATCAGTCACGTAGAGAGAGGTAGAAAGGTGGAAGAAAGAGAGAGAGAAAAGGAGAAAGTCTGGTTCGAACTGGAAGTAAAAAAACCTAACTCCCATTTGGCCAGACATGTGCTTTTATTATTAAGATAATGGAAAAGACATATGTGCCATTATTTAAGTAAGGAGCACTGGCTCTAACATAATATTACAGATCAGCAACCTTAATATAAGTATAAAGACAGAAATACCCCTACACTAACAAGAACAAAGATGAGTAGTATATTGAAAGTGGGGATGGGACCCTGACCCTTTTTATCAAAGTAAGCTTTCCACCTTTTGATAAATGTTTTAGATTTCCACATGGCAGCTTCCTATCAAACCTCTCTAGGACTGCATCCCATGTTCTCTTGGAATTGCTTTTTGTGTCAAGGGGCAATCGGCTTGCTAAGCTATTCATTTCAGTGAATACTTAATACATGCGCCATCGTATGCACAGATACAAACTATATTAGGAAATTATTGGCTCTATGTTAGTGATTTTGACCTGTTTTATTGCCTTTTAGAGTGTTGGAAAATAGTAGTACTAGTTTATGCATTCCAGTTTAAGTATGCGTTGGCTTTAACCATCATATGCTTGCTTGTTTGTGACTTCAGCTTGACCTGTTTTATTGTCTTTTAGAGTGTTGGCAAATAGTAGTACTGGTTTATGTTCCAGTGTAAGCATGACTTTAACCATCATATGCTTGCTGGTTTGTGACTTCAGTACAACCGGAAGCACTATTTGTCTTATTCTCGCTTTTAGAATAAGACATTTAGAAGTGCTATCTATAATAGATGATGGTAATTGCTATTTCATGTAGAGTGGATTCCTAAAGTAGGTTATATACTTTATCTTCTCTGCGTTGCGGCTTTAGATGGATTCCAAGGGAGCTGAACTCAATTGTGGATCTTTTGGCTAAATCTGGGATGGATAGAATTTTTTTGTATGGTGCTAATATTTTGCCCCCTTAAGTGGGGTGATTTTATAGTTGTGAAATCCTGATGGTTGTTTGTACATCTTCTCATGTACATCCCCCCCCCCTGCCCCTTTTGAATATAATACTTATTTTTTCGCAAAAAAAAAAAAAAGATAGTAATAGTACATTACCTTGTTCTTGGAAAGTCTCTGTGCATGAAATTTGCTAAGTAGATCACAAGATACACCATATATTTGAAATAGTATGCCAGAAACTCTAGTCAATTTAAATGCCAAATTAATCATGCCTTTAGGTGGTGTTTCATAACTGATGAAATTGGGTGATGAAAACTGAACATGGAAACAATTCCAAATTTAATAATGTCCCATTCAGCATATCAGAAACCGAGGACCTACTTATTTGTGGAATGATGGAACATTGGTGTAGGGGTGATTACTTTACGCCTAAAAGATTTAACATATATCAACAACGCCCTGGATTTAAGCTGTTTTTAAGTTTAGAATCTTTTCTGTGTCCCACTTTCAGCAATTACTTCAGCAGTTATCAAATGCTACCTTAATACTAAAGTGGCTTAGTAAACTGGAAACAAAAAATGCCTATGCATTGAGAGTATAGATAAGTGAACAGCTACATCAATGGGTTTAGATCTCCAAGAGGAGTTTGGATTGGAGTCAATTGTTTTTTACTTGTTTTCTGTTCTATCTTCAATTTTCTAATATTGTGCAGGTCATATAGTGCTTTAAATGGAAGTCCTCTTGTAATTCAGTTGGTTCCGGCAGTAGGTATCATTGTCTTCACAATTTGGGGGCTTCCGCCGCTCTTGCGTATGACAAGAAACCTTTTGCTGCATGTAAGTTGCCACCCCTGCCATGTGGGATAGGTGCCTACACATCCCTTAGTTCATGATTATTTTTTCAAGAAAAGGCAGGAGTATGAGGGAGGAAAGGAACAACAAAATTTTCCCATGTGACTTTCTTTCTTTCTGTTAGTTCTTTACTATGGTTCCTTTTGAAGTTGTGTCCTGATTTTTAAAGGCATTCTGACACTTTTTTTTTTTTAATTTACTAGAGGAGTGATAGTAGCTGGAAAAAGAGTAGCACACATTATGTTATGACCTCTTATCTTCAACCTATGCTGCTGTGGGCTGGAGCAACACTTATCTGCAGGTCTTCTGGATTTTGAGAGAGGAGAATTTGAAAATCTTTTTCACTCAAAAAATTCTTGACAAACTAATACCCTTGTGTTTTGCAGGGCATTTGATCCAGTTGTTCTACCGTCAGAAGCTAGCCAGGCTGTTAAGCATCGTTTTCTGAATTTTGTTAAATCATTGTCAACTGTCATGGCCTTTGCCTATTGTCTATCAAGGTGAGTATGGTTACTATCACAATCTCAATTTTCTTGGAATCGTTGAATTGAGTCCATGCTCTGTTTTTATTTGAGTAGCCATTCCCATTGGAAGGTAATGTAAAAACTATAGCTGTCAATTATTGAATATCTATATTTATATCCACGATATTGCCTTCTGGATGCAAATCCCACATTTGTCAGCCACGTTCCCTGCACATAGAAATGATCACATTTCACTTTCTTATATTTGCTTTCAATGATTTATCCTTATTAATCTGCAGTGTACTTATTTTTGTGGTTGGATACTGTATCTGGCATCTCTCTGCATGTGTTCTTAGATTAGATGTTAAGGAATTTCCTCAAAATGACTTAACATGGCCTTTTTTTTTTTTTAAATGCAGCTTGATTCAACAAACTCAGAAATTCTTTATGGAGGCAACAGACTCTAGTGATACGAGAAATGTATGCTTTTTATTGCTTTAACAATCTCTTTGCTTGCTGGCATGCCATCTTGTTTTATCATTTAGTCTTTAGATGACTATTGCTGTAGTTCTCACTAAGTGTGCAACTAGTAACAAAACCAAATGGTATAATTTAGCACATCCTGTCAATGAGGTTGAAAGACCTATTGCAAGTATCTAACCTGTAGAATTAATGGCAGAAACTTAGGTTATGGATATGTAGATCTCTTTCCTACTTATTTCTTTGCATTCCAGTCTTAAGTCTGTAACTAGTGACAAAACCAAATGGCTAAATTTAATATATTCTGTAAAGGAGGCTGAAAGACCTGATGCTGGTTACTAACCTAGGGAATTTCTGATGGAAACTCAGGTTATAAATATGTACAGTTTCTTACTTTTTTCTCTTTGCATACAAGATTTTGTTTTATTACTAATGTGTGGATCTTATTTTATGTGTCTGATACATCTTATGATGCATTAAATATAATTTCTGATTTAGTAGTTTTATTATTACAACATAAAGATATTAAAGGGTTTTGAGAATAGAGAAAGAAAGAAAAGGGGATAAAAGAGGAGTTTCCCTTTCTCTTTTTATTTCTCTTTTATTTTCTTAATTACTCTCTCACACAAATGGGGGCCATTGCGTGGTGTTATGGTAAGATCTTGGGCTTAGAAGCATGGTGTAATGGCGTAATGCACACGCATTATATACAATAGAGGCTCAGCTGCTTGTTTTTTCTCCTTTTTATTACCTTTTTTTAAATTTCTTTTATTGTTATTGTAAAGTTACAGCTTTCTTTAGTTGCTGATTTATTACTTTTTTGGATATGCAATTGCTCTATTTGACATATTATTTATAATACTATCTTTGAAATCTGAATCATTGAAAGATTAAGATGCTATTGTTTTTCTAGATATGATGATTTGTCCTGTTCTAATATTAAATTCATTGTTATTTAGCAAAGAGAATCGCCATTTTTCAATTTATGCATACTGATTGGTATGTAAAACTAGAGAGTTAACCTAGGATTTCTATTATTTACTTGCTAACTTCTATCACCTAGGTGGCTAGGCAACTATGTACTACAGTGTTGCTTAGAATCACCTCTATGCCTTGCCAATTGTCTTTTTACATGTTCACAAGTGTTGATTAGTCTTCATTGGTCTGTTTGTTTCTCATAATCAGGTTGGGCTTCTTGACCATACCAGCCAAGCAGAACAGACTGTCTCCTTAAACTTTTACCCAGCATTTTATCGCACTGACTTGAGATATTAACTTTATTTATCTTAAACACATAGTCAGCTCTGATTTGTCATTTTGCAACTAACATTTCTTGGTTTCTGGCAGATGGGTTTCAACTTTGCTGGAAAAGCTATATATACTGCAGTTTGGGTTGCTGCTGTTTCTTTGTTCATGGAGTTGCTGGGTTTCTCCACACAGAAGTGGCTTACAGCTGGAGGTCTTGGAACAGTATTGCTGACCCTTGCTGGTCGTGAGGTGATCCCCATTTTCTGTGTATTAGGTCTATTGAAATGGTTGTAGTTTTGATGAAGTATAATGCTGTTAGGTAACTGCAAAACCTTAATTAACATAGTTCATTGTGTTCAGATATTCACAAACTTCCTCTCTAGTGTGATGATTCATGCAACACGACCGTTTGTTCTGAATGAATGGATTCAAACTAAGATCGAAGGCTATGAAGTTTCTGGTACTGTTGAGGTTCGTATTAAGTGTCAAACACTAACTAAGAAAAGTACAAAAACGAAATGTGTGGATACTGTTAGTGTGTGCCCCTTTTTGGGTTGGGTTGGGCTGGATGAGGGAGTGCATCTGGTTTATTCTTTACTCAGGGTTGGGTTTGGGCTGGGGCTGCATCTTTTTCTTACTAAGTCAGCACAGGTATAAATATAGGATTTTTAGTACAGCCCTTGTGTTTCTTTATTGCACATTTTTATCTTCTATTCTCTCAGCATGTTGGATGGTGGTCGCCAACAATTATTCGAGGTGATGATCGTGAAGCTGTTCACATTCCAAACCACAAGTTTACGGTGAGCGTTGTGAGGAATCTCAGTCAGAAGAGTCATTGGCGTATCAAAACCCACCTTGCCATTAGTCACCTGGATGTTAACAAAATTAATGTAAGGACCAATTTGGATTTCATATACTTGTTGACAAATGAGACATGTTCTATGCACATATGGACAAGAACATGCTAATGCTTCCCATATATATTTGGGTACAACTTTTCCATGTTCAGAATATTGTAGCAGATATGCGCAAGGTCTTGGCCAAAAATCCACAAGTAGAGCAACAAAGGTTGCATAGGAGAGTGTTTCTAGACAATATTGATCCAGAGAATCAGGCCCTTTTGGTAAGCTTTGATGTTGATCTATTGTAAATGAAAATTTCATTGTATAATTTGTTATTTCTATTTGCTTTTTGTATGATATACTAGTTGGTTGAGGGAGGTTGTGCATTTGCTATAAGATTGTTTCAATACCCTGAAATTTAGCTTGTAATTTAGCATGGAAGAATGGAAGGAATGCCCATTACGTATTTTATTTCATGGATTATTATTATGCATTAGATGAATCATTAGGTTTATTGAAGCTAAAAATTTCTGTTAATTACATGTTAGAAATATGCCACCACATTTAGGCTGTTCTCTGGTAGTCTACACAGTTTGCTAATTTTGTTGCTAGTGGTAAATAGACATTTTAAATAGAGACAATTCCATGACTGATGGATTACATAATTAACAAACAATAAGAGGGAATTTACTGGTGTCCCTAGTCCTGACAATTCTGGTACTTTGTTTGGAGCATGTGACCCTGAAGTATCAGGTTGGTCATCTTCCAACTGTCGCTTGATCTTATTTCTTTTATGAAATTAGAAATGCATTAATGGCAGTTGTAGTGGTTATGTATAAATCATTACTTTAGGATAAAGTTTTAAGAGTCTTAACTAACTTGTGTTCTTGGCATGGGTGGAATTGCAGATTATGGTTTCCTGCTTTGTGAAAACTTCCCATTTTGAAGAGTACCTTTGTGTCAAGGTGAGAATAAATCATTATTTAATGTTCAGCTTGTATATCAAGAAAATGGAATTCTTGCTTCTTTATAAATTTATAGGAACTTAATGCAGCTATTACAGATATGGTGCAAGCTACTGTTGCACCTCTCCATCTGCCATGAACCTATGGCAATTATGGTGCTATCTATGGTATATAATCCCACCATCAAAAAATTAAATTACTTTTTTGAACACTCATTGTTGGACGATTGGCACTTTTCTAGCGTTGATGAAAGACTGAAATTCAAAAATGTTGGATGGTCGGGTCTATATGAAACGTTGTTGTTTTGATAGGTATAGTGCATTTGAACCAAACTCAATCAAACTACTTATTGAAAGAAAAAAATAAATAAATAAACAATTTAGCATGGGTTCCTTTTTTAATTTGACCTGTTAAAATAATGACCATACTTGGCAAATTCTTGTACTAAGGTTATTCTGAAGAAAAATGCCAAATTGCATGGTTTTCAAGAATATGGAAGAATATTAAAGTAATATAGGAAAATGTATACTATATGAATAATATGAATTTGAAATATGTAGGATAAATCTTGAGGAAAATTTAATTATATATTATAAATTAAAATTATTTTCATTTTTACATATGCATATATCCATTATATTTTTTTATATGCACATATTTAACATTTACATATAAAATATGCCAATTTTTTACTCTGACCTTCTTAAATGAAAACGGCATTAAACACAGATGCATAGTTGGTCAATCTTTTTACTGCATAACATTATTTGCCCTTTTTTTTTGCATTGGCATTCCCTAACCATTTACCAATTCTTATATAGTGACTGCTGATGTGGGACTGAAACGGGGAAAAGCAACGAGTCCCTTGTCCACTTTCAAAAACTGAAAATAGATTTCTTTTGATTTGTATGATATGTTCAGCCAGTGGTTGAAAAATACGAGAATTTCACATGGCTGTTTCTTGTGTGAGTGCTCCCATCTGATGGTCAATCATATAGTATCATAAAAAGCAGTTATTGAACCAAAAGAATAAAAGAGAAAAAAATAAAAGCAGTTCTTGATGCAAAAGATGAAAAGGGGGGAAATGGTGGTTAATTTGTTTATGTTGGTGACATTCATGAACATGTTCGTAACAGTGTTGCATGGACACGGATACAAGAATCAGAATGCAATGCATGTCCAGGAACCTGATTTGGCAAGAAAAAACAAGGAAAAAATATAAATATTAGTATAAACTATTAGAATAATCCATTCTTTTTTAATTCTTACTTAAATATCTATAAGATCTAGGACTCTGTTACTTAAACAATGGTTTCTAGAAAAAGATGTCACTTGTTGTGTATATTAGCTATTCATTTATGTGGAATAAGCAAGTAGATAAAGGAACATGTTATTGAAGTGTCCAATAATCTATGAAGTGTGATTTGATGCATATCCGATATGAATGCTTCATCTACTTATGAGTTCATAACTGTTGCAACCATGGTCACAGCAACCCCCCCTTCAAATTAAATACAGATACACCAGCAATGGACACAAATATAAATTGCATGGTGTTTTGAATTTTAACAAAGGACTGGTGTATCCATGTTTAACTGGGGGGTTGCAACTTGCAAGTGTTGCAACTGTGGTTACAGCATGCAGATGTGATCTTAGGAGAGTCTATGCAACACCAGTGAATGGGAGTTCAACTGACACTAGCTGTTTTTTTTTTGAGGAAACAGGAAGCCATTTTACTGGATCTCCTCAGGGTCGTCCGCCATCACCGTGCACGGCTTGCCACTCCTATCCGTACAGTTCAGAAAGTATATAGTGATGCAGATGTAGAAAATATACCGTTTGCGGATACCATCTTCACTCGTACTCGTCCAGCTGCTAACCGTCCATTCTTACTTATTGAACCCCCATATAAAATTAATGGTGATGATAAAATAAAACCTCAAGGTCGGTCAGTACACGCAAATGAAGAACAGGATGCAAAAGGCACAGAAAGACAAACATCTGACACCAATGCAGAAGCCAGGGTTGAGGCAGCATCAACGTTTGACTCCAAGGCAGATGCCAAGATTGGAGCCATGCCTACGTCTGACTCTAAGGCAGAACCTACAGTTGCAGCGACCTCAATATCTGATTCAAAGTTAGAAGAAAAGGTAGCCGCAATGTCAGAACCATCCAAATCCAAGGCCCTGAGTTCAGTGAGGGATAGTTCAGTCCAAACCAATCCTGACAAGCAATCTGAGGTTGACAGTATTCAAATGGGAACAGGTGTATCCACTCCGCCCTCGAAGACACAGCTTGGAGGCCTAGATTCAATGGGACTAAGTTCCAAGGACATTACCCTTCTGGGAGCTGCTTTTGAGAAGCCTCCAGTCAGCTTGTCAGAGACCAGCGATGAAAGGGTAGGTGTTCCCCACTCTTCACAACCAAAGCAAGAAAATGAGACGTTGCCAGTTCCACCACCATCAATTGCCAGGACTGTGGTGGAGGATAACATTGTTCTTGGTGTTGCTCTAGAGGGCTCAAAGAGAACCCTACCTATTGAGGAGGGGATGCATTTGCCTCCAGCTTCTGCAGAATCCAAACTGGCAGCTTGCCGGAATGGGAGTGGGTCTTCATCGGCTGGGAAGGATAAGAAAGAAGGCCAGATTCCTAATGTTCCTGGTGCAGCAGCTGGAGATCAGCGGGATCATGGGAGGTGATTGATTCAGATTATATTTTCAGCAGTGTAGGTTTTCTTTTCCATTTTGTTTCGAGGGAACATGCATGGAGCTGTGTTTTTGAAGGCAGGCATGACGAAAATGTATATTGTTAATGATGTCAAAATCATCACCAATTGTAAAATTCATTGATCTTGGCTAAATCAGTAAATTCTCTGTTATATATGAAAGCAATTCATTGTGGAACACCCTTACCACCATTTACTCTATTTTGAGCCGGTTGCTTTTTCGCTTTCTCTGGAAGTGTATTTTTTAACTGAACCAGTTAACCGGTAGTGGTAATGTGAGTTTATTCTTGAGAGATGGAAGGAATGGTTCAAAATCCCGGCCTCGCCTTTGGAAGTTGGACCAAAATGAATTGTTGGTGGGTGGATAGGTGAATTTGAGTACCGATTTCCTCACAGAACATTCCTCACCCACTTTACATCAGAACAACTCCTGTACTCTATGTTTTCATCCATGGGGAGATGTTTCGAATGCATGGCTTCATGTAACAGAAAATTTTGGTTTTATTTTTTTTTCCGATTCAGTGATTTTGGTTATTGGTTATTGGTTTTTAGATTTAAAAACTAGGCTAATTGAAAAAACTGAACCAAAATTTGGTTCATTTATATTGGTATTGCCTCAATTCAGTGTCGGTTTGGTTTTTCCTCTAAGGGTAAATTGCTGAAACATCCCTGAAGTTTCTGGTTGTTGCTGAAACCTCTCCTGAAATTTGGTAATTGCAAATTTGAAATCACCTTCCCTGGACATTTTGACATAGTTGCAACTTGCAAGTAGATCACTTTTATTAGAATTCTCTAAAAAGAGGCATGAAAATGTCTAAAATACTCGTATAGTTATTTTGACCAAAATATTTTTTCCAAGTTCTCTAAATCCTTATCCCAAATCTTTCTGATCTCTTTTTCTGAAATTGATTTATTTTCTAAATTTGCTCTTCATATCAATCGCTCAAAGGTAAAGTTACAACTTTAAATTATCTTTTTTCATAAAGTTTGTATCATTTTTTTCTGTAGAACCCAGCCTCAATAGTAACTGCACAGAGTATTTTTGAACATTTTCATAGATTCTAACAGAAGAGGTCTACTTACAACTGTGTCAGAAAGTTAAGAGGAAGTGATTGTAATTACCAACTTCAAGGAGGTTTTAGCAACAGTTTCAAAACTTCAAGAGAGGTTTCAGCAATTTATCCTACCTGTAATAATAACTTTTGTTAATTCAGTTCTGGTTTATTAGGTTAAAATGGTTTTTAACCGAATAAAACAAATTATGTTCACGCGTTCTGATTTTATCTGCCAGAAAGACATGACACCAAAAGACTTTCACCAATCTGTCGCTCCCATCATTGATCTCTTTGGTAATTGCTTCGAAGTTGGGTACTAGACTCTACCATTGACCACCGGATGTTAAATGTTAAGTGGAACCATGTTTCTACAATCGGAAGTTTCTGACTGCAACAGCAGTTTTGGATACTCGCACCAAATCGCACTGAGCTAATTTAGGAGTTGCGACAAATCACAAGTTTTCTTTGGTGAGTTCCTCTAAACTGATTCTATTGAAGCATATAACTCGGTTCAGATTTGCGGAGATTAGCATTTGCACAATGTTTACTCGGAAGCCCCAGGAAGCACTTGGTCAGGATAATTATTAGATTTTCTAATAACAGGTATTGTCATTCGTACAAACAAGAGATTGAAGCTTGAAACTTAATAAAGAAAATGGATTCTGCCCTATACAACGCTATAAGCCACAAATAATCATGGCTGTAAAACATTAAAACTTGCGCTAAACGTGACACATACAATCAGGTGCAGGATATGTATAAATGGATTGCTTCTCTTTCCTCAGTCGGATTTGTCCTTGTCTGTTTTTGTGCCCCTCCAGAACTGCCTGCTGAAACTTGGACCATTCTATACTCTTGTTCAGGAGCAGCTGACCCAACAATGCCATGCTTGGCCTAATAGTCTTCAAATTCTCATAGGTTCGATGACCCACCTAATGATATGACCAAAATCAACATCAACAGTGGCATTACAATCTTTTTTTTTTTTGGATCTTCATATAAACTCGTGCATATATTTTAAACACAAGTACTGAATTGAAAACTACGGTTGACAAACTTGGAATTAGGAGCACAAACCATTTCATGGATGCCAAATATGTCGTGAACCACTGAACCAAACCTAACAATGAATCATTCCTTTCCATTTTGGCTGTTGACTGGAAAGATAGGGCTTGGTGCTCTTTAAGGACCACCACCTAATGTTGATCCTTGCTATCTGGGGGTCGTGGGAGGGGTGGACTAGATATGGACCTTCTGGTTTTGTTTTTTTTTTTGCACAAAGTGGCTTTGCTGCTCCGTCACTTCTATAAATTTTATTTAGCAACACTTCAATTCTATCAGACATGGTCTTGTGTTAAGGGGAGATACTTACCAATGCATTATGCATATTTCCAGGAGATGCCGAGATAAAAATATCACTGTGCATGCTGACATAGTAATCAACCGCAGCTAATAAAGAAGCTTTCCCTTCAATTTTAGCCCGTTCCTCTTCAGAAGCCAGGCTTTTCTTGTCTTCCATCAAGGGGAACAGATTACGCAAAGCTTGTATCCTTGCTTCCCCACCATAGACCTGGATAATATGGAAAACCAAGGTTTTTTAACTCTAGATATGACACAAATACTTCATTGATTTCAAATTCTACATAAATGCAGGGGCTTTCCTATGTGCAGATAAACCTTGTGGGATGCAAGATAGAGTCGGGTACTATTGTCAAGGCCCAAAGCTGCCAGCAACAATCCAATCTCTTCTGGAGTCAATGGGCAGCGTCCTTGACTCCTTAACTCCTCATCAGTGAACTGAGAGTTCATGACCCTTCCCTGCCAAATCACTTGTCTGTATTTGGCCAAAGCCATTTTTTCTGCTTTACCCCCACCAAAATCACAGGCCGAATGAGCAGCCATATCCTGCATGATAAGTAGTTAGAGAATACGGTGCAAAAAAAAAGACTTGTAAACAATGAGAATCTGAATGCAGTAAATTAAATGGTTCTACAAATGATTGTCAACAGAAGTACACCATACCTTATCAAACCGAAGGTGTAGTACAACAAACTTTCCATCTCCCCATTTCTTTCCATCATCAGTTGTCTCCCTCAAGAACTGATTATCTCCTAGTGCACTTTTACCTGCTGGACGCCTAAGGCGATTGACAAGGACCTCTCCCAATTCTCTGATGTGAGGAACGAAGGCTAATGCCTTAAAGTTGACTTTACAGCGAAGGCGTTGAATGTCCATAGGCAAGTTATCAAAAGCTAAACGGTGAGAAAATGGTGCAATAGCAGCAATACCATAACTGGGCCAATCACCAAGTGTAAAATCATTATTAACAATTTTTGCTTGATAAAATAAAATTTCTGATTAAAATGCACATTACCAATTAATCTTATATGTGATGTCGTGACAACCTAAGAATACACAGCTGGAAATACTTGGTGATGCATTGATTTCAAAATGATCTATTGGTACCACAAAGAAAAATGTACCATTTAAATTAAGCTAGTGGCAACCACATCTCAGGTTTCAAGATGTAAAACAATGAATAACTGGCTCCTTCATTGGAGCAAAGATAAAGATCTAATGCAAATCTTAGTTTTAAGAATGGGATGACATTAGTCAGCATGGGATCTCTTTGTATGAAAGCATCAAAGCAAGTTATAAAAATATGCAGATAAATGTTGGTTCTTGGTTTTACTCTGCTGATAAAAGAAAATGTTGGTTTTACTCTGTATTTAGGTACCCCAGAAACCCGGATACACTGCAAAAATTGGCAAATATTTAATTGGTACTTCAGGAACTGATAATGAGAATATGGTTGCATGAAGAAATATTATTTGATAAAGTGGAGAATGAAATGGCTCTGGAAACAGGTGGGTTGAGTATTGGAAGCAAGATTTTGGATGAGTTTTTCTTTTAAAGAGGGAATCTAATTTGATAACTAGAAGAAATTTCAGAGTCTTGAAACAAACCAAAATTGCCTCCTAGCTCATTCTTCTCAATGGTTGGACCAAACACAGAAGCACTTGTTCTTGCACAAATTTCTCAAAGCAGCATTCACCTAAAAGGGTTTCCATGGAAACGGTAAGTACTTGAAAAAGAAGGCCCTCCTTCCTCAAGTTCTTTGGAGTGGTTTTGATTTTCCTTCTCTATGTAAAGGAGGTGTTTTCTAAACAAGTAAACAGATATCCATACTATCTAATAAAAAACAGAACAGTCTTTCAGAAAAAAGCAATTTTTTTGAGCTAAAGTAGGACAAAAGAAGAGGAAAATTCTTTTTCCTTAAGCCTAATTCCCTGAAAAGAACCAGTAAATTCAACATGTTTGCTAGTATATAGTGGTTGATCTGATAGGTTTCTATTTGCCAGCTTGTGGTTGTTTTTGATCTCCTTTATTCAGCTGGTATTACCATTTACCATCCATTTCAAAACCTTGAAATGCTGGGTATGGATTTTTATCTCAACACTATAAATAAAACATGAATACTGTCAATTAAAAAAAAAAACACACACGATTGCTTCTAAATGCTATTGTTCTCAAAGTTTTGGAGGAAAAGGGGCGAGGTAGAGTGGAGGGAACAGACCGGGATGAGAAACTGACTCCTCTTTTGCCATGTGGTAAAGTTCTTCTTGGTTAGAATTAACCACATGGGGTGAGAATGAAATGGAGATAATGCTAGAACAAATTTCATTCTAATTAATCAACAATTGAATCAATCTCCCTAAGGCTCCCATATATGACAATGCCCATGCCACTTATCAATCAGAGATAAAGAGAAGGTAATCGCCAGTTCGCCACATTGCATTTAATTCAGTTCACAAAAACTCATTCAGAAGAGAAAGATTAAGTTGGGAAACTGAATAGATGATTCAAATCTCAAGATTCCAGACAACATAATTTCTGCCTTCGCCAGGGTAGGGGGGTGTAGGGGTTTTGGGGGAGGGCTACCTCCTGTTGGTGTAGCCTATTTACCAAAAAAAAAAAAAAACAGAACATAATTTTAATTTGCAAATAATAAAAAGTGATGTATTTACCAACCTCTGTAATACAGGCAAGACATTCTCTAGATACCAATTAGCTGAAGCATGAACAGGTGCTGTTTTTATTCTTGTAGCTCGAATGGCTGTTGCATAATACTCTCTAGTGCTCCATGAGTATTCTTTAGGTAGATCTTTAACTATAGAAATTTCATCCTTGAGGACATCAATAAAGTGATCTACATCAAATATTTCTGAGAATGAGCTGCAAATGAAAACCAATAATCAGTGGTGCAGTCTCCAACATTTTCTTACAACTGGTGTATTGTGTATTGTTAATATATACTCAAGGAAGGGGAAAGAACCCAAAACTTAGAATAATCTAGACAACATAAGAGAGTAAAAGTATTTTCTATAACTACCTTGAATCCTGCCAAACAGGATTTACTTCAAAATGTGGGATCACAAGTGTTGCATTTAGAATTTTAGCAACAGCTACAGCATCACAAATCTGCAAAATAAAAACTAAAAAATCATTCTTTGGGTAAATAAAAAAGAGCATCTTAAGTAATTAGTTTTATTTGTTCACACAAACAAATAAATGCAAAATGAACAAGATGTATACTTTTAAGCATCATGTTCAGTCTATTTGTTCCCCATATTAATGTTCTTCCTTGAAAAAAGATTAGATTACCCACCCCCATTCTTTGTTGGTTCAGGCCTCCATCCAGAAACACCTGGATATATCCCTGAGACTTCTTTGGTAGCACTGTTAGAAAATTAGAAACAAAGATAATGGATATCAGAAAACAGATCCTGCATTTGCTTCAAGAATCCCTGTTCCATTACTTCATGCAGCAGATTAACTGTATGCAATTTTCATTTGCTCCACTTTAATTACTCACCAGAGGAACTTGCAGACTTAAGACAAGGTTTCCATCCTTGATCAGCCAAAGGAGACCAGAGCTCAGATTGTTGTCTACCTGACTGGGTGTAAGAATCAACAGAGGAAAAAAATAAAAAAAAAAAACAAGAAGAAGACAATCGGCAGACAATACTTGACCTTAAGAAGAAACATTTCAAAGAAAAATATAGTCCCTTATACTCACAGGTTGGCGTTGTAAAGCACCCTTCAATAGTGGCAGATGCTTGGGTTTAGGAGCATTCCACTCCTGCAAAATAGGGAAGACATTCCATTAAATGAAAAAAAAAATCAACTGCATACTTTTAAGATATGTACATCTGTTATAAAAGTAGCCAACAAAAGTAAATGTTAACAGTGGTGTAACACCCATCCATGGAATGCATCTGCATGCTATTCATAATTCCCATGACCAACAATAATAGCTAGTACCATAAAGTTTAGTTGATAGTCTATACCGAGAGAGACATACTAGAAATAAATAATTTTAAGCAAGCAATAATAGTGAACTCAAATGCACGTATTTCTACTTTGTGAAATACAATGGAGGAATCAATGGTCAGGGATCCCATTATGCATTGAATTTGATAATAAGCACATTAACACGACAAAAGAAACCAAATAACAGTAAACTAAAACGCACTTTTAATAAGAATTTTCTTTCGAATAACAATTAATTTACTTAAGGAAAGAGAAAAAAATGAAACAATCAGGTAAGGTAACCACCAGCACAATTCCCTTTTAAAAAAAGGAGGTATGAGTCGTGAATAAGAGCCAGAAATTGTTCTAGTTGAAGCCAATGCATCAGGTTGACCGGAGTTTCCATGCTTGAAAACTCGGTGCACCAGTTTAGTATAACCATAGGTGGGTCGCAGAGCACACCCATTCAACTCACTAGCCCACCGGGTCAACTCCTTTCAGCGTTCAGCCAGACGGTTATTTAGGATTGACGTATTTGTGTCCCCAAAACCAAAAGCCAGAAGGCCCAAAACTTCTCTTCCCAATTATAGAAGAAATCATAGAATAAATCAGTTGTTCGACAAAAATCGCTCTGACTTCCGAATCACCCACAAAGTACCAGAGTAATAATCCCCAAAGTCATCAAATACATGAAATCCCGCCCGCCATTACCAGTTACAGAAGACACCCGCCCGCCCTGATACACAAACACGACCACCCGCGCGTGCTAACTTAACAACACAGACGCAAACACAGAGAAACACGGGAAGGCCGAACAAAAGCAAAGCTTGAATGTTTGATGGAGAAGAACGTACCGAGAAAAGAGAAGGCGAGGCGTGGCCCAGGGGGCTAAAGAGACGAGGAAAGAAAACGGGGAGGAGCAGCACTAAGAGACCTGCAAATGCTTCTCTCTGAGATTGGAGGAGGTGGTGGTAGAATCTCATAGTCGGCAAGCCCCCTAGTCTCGCTCTGGGATCTGAATGAAACCGATGTTGTACTGCTGGTGGTGGAAGCCCTAATCGTAGAAGCAGAGGAGAAGAAAAGAAGAATTCCTCATCAAAGGAAGATCGAGAGAGCAACAAGAAGAGAGTTTAGTTTAGACTTTAGAGAGGCTTTGCTGAATGCTGAACGTTCACAGGGGGGTGGTTTAACTGTCTCTCTCATCTTCGAGGGCCCCGAGGTTTCTGTGTAGAGGGTACGGTTCGGGTACGGCCAATTTGGCTCGACATCACCGATCCATTTATTACTTAACGTTGTTTGTTTGGTATATCATTTCCTCCTCCATGCTGCTCAGACACTGACACCGCAGTAGTAGTATCCACATCTGGGTTTTAGTTTTAGCCACCTTTTGTTTGGAGCAAATTTGGGGGGGGTCAAAAAAGCATAATTTTAAAAACCAAACCGGACCGGACGGTCTGACCGTTTGACCAGGGAATTGGTCATATCTCTGGTCCGGTTTTGAATTGAACTGTTTTTTTGAAAAAAAAAAACATTGATTTGGCCAAAGAACTATTGATTCGGGCGGTTGAACCGCTAAACCATTGACACAGACCACGGTTCAGGGTTTAATGAAAATTATTTTATTTTTTAAGGGAGGATTAAAGAGAAAAAGATGAGATCGAGAGATGGGGAGTGATTGAGACAAGATCTCAGATCTGAGGTCAAAGAGAGAGAGAGAGATCAGATTTGAGATCAAAGATAGATATTTGAAAAGGTTGGGGGAGAAACATTACCATAGTTGTGTGTCACCATGTCATCGTCGCTGATGAGCACCTCTTCCTCCTCCTCCTTCCTTCTTTCCTTCCTTCCTTCATTTCCTTTTTTTTATTTCTTTCTTTCCTTTCTCAGTCTACAATCACATATATCTCTCTTCTCACAAAAGAGTTATTAGATACATATATATGTATGATCCATTTTACCCTAATATTCCAATCTAAGGGTTAAATTTAACAAACTGCTTAAACCATTCAACCTAAAAGATAGAACCGCTGACCCAAAAACTAATGGCCAAACCGGTTCTGTTTTTGGGTTGGTTTTTAAAACCTTAGTCAAAAGTATTAAAATTTTGCAATGTATCGATGACCCTCCAATACATCCCTATAGCAAGTGTTTGGGGGTTTGACCTGTTTTAGGGGGCAAATAGTCCTTAAAGGCTTAAACAACCCCTGAACAGGTTTGAAAAATAAATTAAAAAGGTAAAAGTGTCCAAAGATACAAGCCAATATGCCCCATCCTACATATTAGCTTGTACTAAATATTTAGAACATCTGGTCAACTTTCCTATGTTCTTTTAATTGGTGAAATATGGGTTCCATAGAAATAAAACTTTTTCTTAGGTAAGTTTTTGACAACTTACTTGAGAAAGTTTTATCCACTTGGGATGTTAATAAATTACTTACCTATGAATGGGGAAATTGGTCAAACTATGTGAGGAGTAAAATATACCTACTAGAACAAAAAAGAATAGGGATCAAATTTGCTCACTTAACCATCTAACAAAAAAACATGGGTGAATGTACTTACTTGAATAACATTTTCCTAGATAACACTTACTCGGATTGAAAATGAGGAAAATTGGTTATAAGGATCGAATATCTGCTTCTAGGTAATTCTCCAACCAAGGAGGACAATTGGTTGCACAGCCATGCCAACCACTAGAAATGGAAGAAAAGGTTGTAACATTGTGGGCTACCCACTTGAAATCTGTGGGCAAAGTCCTTGAATATTTGAGATAACTAGCTAAACCTTTGATAGGGACACATCCCTTTCTTGGAGAATAGTTGTGATTAGATCCTAGGAGTCTGATTCAACAACTAGGGAAGTCACCCTGCAACTTAAAGCCTCGGTCAAACCCCTTCTAAGAGCCTTAGCTTCTAGAGAAGGATCGAAGAGGGAGAACCTTATTATGCCCTGCTGCAATTAGTTTACCAGAAGAGGACCTTAGAAAAAAAAAAAAAACTGATTATCACCTTTTGAGCTTGGGAGTTACAAGCTGCATCCGAGTTTAACTTAACAACTCTCAGAGGGGGGAATTCCAAGTTTGAGGGGGAGAAACTAGGGAGGAGATGGGGGAAGGGGATATGTAAGTCTCAAGTTGCTCATGGGTGAGAATGAAGACATTTTCAATGATCTTCTAGGGATGATCTTTCTCACCTTGGTGGACCAAGTCGTTCCTTGATTTCCATAATAGCCAGCATGTTTTTGTCACTCTAGTCTTCCTTGCTTGCCCAACCTTTAAGTTTGAGTCCTTTATCCAATTAGCTAGCCAACCCACCGAATCTTCCTAATTTGTAGGGGCTTGAATAGGAACATTTAGGCCAAACCAAACAACCCTCACGAAAGGGTAGGTGATAAGCATATGGATCAAGGAATCTGGCTACTCTCTCCACCTTGGGCAGGTGTCATCATTTATAATATGTCTTTACTTCATCTTGACAAGGGTTGGTAGAGCTCCATTTAAGCATCTCTAGTGGGAAAACTGAATTTTGGGGAGAATCTTGAGCTTCTATATGTATTGCCATATGTCGACTGACTAGTTTAGGAAGGGGTTGAGGCTAGGCACCCGTAGAACTAGCTATTAAGCTGATTTCATCGAAAAATTATTGTCCTTTGAAAGTTTCCATGCTAGCTTGTCTTATCGGGGGGTCCAACTTAAAGGAATTTGTAAAATTGCCTTCACCTCCACTTCTATAAACAAGCCTCTAAGAACTTTCGTCTTCCATGATCTTGAGTTTGAGTTGGTAAGGTAAAACACTTTCATGAACTATGACTAGGTTGGTTTCTCTAATTGAATCTTGTAGTGGGGAAGGGACGGGACCCATGGCTCCTCCCAAGTGTCGATGCTTTCTCCTGATTCAAATCTCCAAATGATGCCTTTTTTCAATAGGTTTCTTCCATCAACAAGGCTTCACCACGCCCACGATGGGTGGGACCCAAGAGGGGCCTCTAGGAAAGGGACCCTTGGAAAGTAAACATTTCTAAGGATCTTTTCGACATGGCTTGCTTTTTTAGAAGGTTCCAGGCTACTTTCACTAGGAAGGCTATGCCGAAGATGTGAAAATTTCTAAAGCTCAAGCCGCCCTTTAACTTCGGATGGCAGAGGTCTCTCTAGGGTATCCAGTGAATTTTCTTCTGTCCCCACATGAAGTTTTCCACGGCACTATTCATCTTCCTGCAAATTTCTTTTGGGAGACGAAAATGAATCATTGAAAAAGATTGAGGACGTTGAGGCTAAGGCCTTAATCAAGATTTCTTTGTCTACAGGGGTTAAAAAGGCCCCTTTTCATGAATATACTTCGGACTAAACTAATTCTAGAATTTTAGAAAACAACTCTGAATTGTTTCCATCGATGATGGAACCCCGAGGTAATTGGAGTAGTTTCCTTATGGAACTTTGACTACTCTGGCCATCATTTTCCTTAACTGCGGAGTTAAAATTTTGGATAATCTGGTTGAATGCATGACAATGGTCTAGGTCTGCTTTCTCAAAAAGGATACAATCATCTATGTATAGGAGGTGGAAAATAACCAGGCCCCGATGGCTTAAAAGAAGGCCCTGGAATTCTTGATTTCCAATTTTCCTTTTAATAATACTTGTGAGGCATTGCATGATACATACAAAGAGATATTGAGCTGGTCTCCCTAGCGGAGGCCATTTAGAGGTTCTATGAAACCTCTCACAATCCCATTCAATGGGAGAGTGTAAAACACATAAGAAACATCATTCATGATCTCTTTTACCCATCTTTATACAAACCCCATAGCCAAAAGAGTCAATTCTAAAGCTTTCCAATCCACTGTCTTATGCTTTTCTCATATCCAACTTTATTGCCATGGTGAAAGACTTCCCTCTCTTCTTTCTCAAATAATGAAATGCCTCATGAGCAATTTTGATATCTAAGATGTTCCTGTTGTCCACAAAAGCACTTTGAGAGTCATCTATTATCTTGCTTAACACCAACTTCAAACGGTTTGCCAAGGATTTAGCAAAAATTTTATAAAGCACATTGCATAAGGATATCGATCTAAAATGCTCTACTAAAAAAGCATTTTGTTGCTTTGGGATCAGGGCTACGTTGGTAAAATTTAGTTTTGGAGGGTGCATTTTGTGGGGTATAAAATGGTGGTTTTCGCATTGTGTAACACTATTACATCATTTCACTTTGATGACCCCTTATTGTCAAATATTAATACTTTATGGGGCTCAAAGTTTGGTAGATGATAGTTCCATCTAGAAGTTGATAACAGTGCCTGTGTTTTGTGAATCCTTTTGATCGATGGGATAGACTACCATATTAACCCAAAAAATTACAAATGCATTTTTCCATCCAGATTGGTGGGACAAACTACTAGTATCTATCATCTAACAAAAAATTTAGCCATCAAAGCTATAGAGTGGGTTGCAATAGTAGTAGATTTATCCTTATGGACAAAAGATATTGAAGAGAAATTGTTCAAGAGGCTCAAAATAATATCCAACTTCTCCTAACAAGACCTAAAAATTTCCTTCTCCCTTCTTCGACATCCAACAACAATTACTTTTGAGTATGAAACTATAATCAAATCCTTCCATCATTTTCCCTTGAAAAAAGAAGAGCTCTTAGAATGACTCCCAGTTCTGATTCTAGAGTACCAATGACTCCTAAGCTCCCTCTTGTAGCTACCAAAAAAAAGGATTTATCATCACTTAGCACACAAAGCCATAAAATTATAACACTCCATTCAATACATTACCATTACATAGAATTGGTTTAACTTCTTTGTCAAATAAAGACAAAAAATCAACTACTTTCTCAAAATTTACACACATAACATCCCCTTAAACATTTAAGCACAAATACATTGTTTATTTTCCTTATAATTTCAAATAGAGAAATTACTTTGTCAACATTTTTTTTTTGGATTAGCAAGCTACTAAGATCCAACTTAGCAACTCAGTCATATGAGGTTCAACAAGAGATCCAAAGAAAACTAAATCAAAAGATTATCCATCGAGTTAAATTGCACCATTCTTCTAAACATAGTAGGCTACATGCTCGAAAAACAAAATCTCTAGTCAAAGGACAAGAAATAAACAAATGAAACAACAACTTAGATTCATTTTGACAAAATGGACAACTCATATCCTTAGTTATAATATACCATTTATCTATTCTCTACATGAAGAATTTAAAACTAGGAGGGATTTTTAATCTCCAAATCTTCTTAATGCTTAGTTTGAAAGGAATATAAACACAAATACGTAAGTGCAAAACCTTGTATTTTGTATTATTTTTTA